CGGCGGTAGTCGATTATCTGCCGATACAGACTCCATTGGATGTATAAGCAAAACAGCTGTGGCAATTATATGAATGGATCACTGAAAAATCTGGAGTTCGCGAAAAGGGTAAGCATGTCTTGCCCGACCGGTAGCACCCGCCACTGACACGCCAATTTGCTTAAAAGGGCAAGTATTTGTTGCCTGACGCCACACAGCAGTACGTTAATGAAGGGTAAATCTGAGAAAATGTACAAGAGAGATGAGGTGAGGTGAAATGGGGTTTAACGTCGCGTCCAAGATTATTGCACTTATATAGCGACGTGCGTGTGTGTGTGTGTGTGTATGTGTGTGTCTGATTGTACTAGTCTGGACTGATGCCGATTTATAGTGCTAGCCCACTGAGATACCATGCCGCAGTTAACATGAATACCCCACTCAGACACAGTATACTGACTCCGAGCCGACCAGTCCTTGTTTTAGCCCCTTAATGCCGAGCGCCAGACAGGGTAACAACAAGTACCATCTTTTAACGTCTTTTGGTATGACGCACTCGGGGATCGAACCCCGAACCTTCCGCTCTCCGGGCGCACGCTCCACCACTAGACCACGGAGGCGGGCTACAACAGAGATGAATAAGAGTAATCAGATCGTAATGTAAAAGCGACACAACTCAAGCAAAGTAGCGGCCCTTCTTGAGTTCGAATCTCCGAACCCGTCCTCCAGTAGTTAACGCGGCGACCCATGTCACAGTTGTGCCCCTCTCTCATTAATCCCCTCTTACAATGAAAACAAGCAACACTTGCTAATAAAAGACTAATACTGTTTCAAGAAAAAACGGTATTCGAGCTATATCACTACGGCCTTTCAGTAATCGAGCCTGGACCAGACAAACCATTGACTGAAAGCATGAGCACCGATCCACGCCATCGGGGTAAATTAAGTAACGCCGAGCAAGCCGTCACAAAACCTGACCTTCAGATCCGATTTATCACAAACAAAAGAGAGGACTGGGGACGTATTCTAACCCTCGCCTCCGCTGGGTCGGCCGTTTGAGGCTTTCGAGGGACAGTATATTATCCATTTCCATCACATCTTATTACCTTATCTGAAGAACACATTGTATTGGCAGAACTGTACCACCAATCCCGACTGTGTCGCCTCTTGCGACCAGCAGTGGCATGCTGAGGATTTATTATAAATTCAAAAAGTCAACGGCCAAAAATAATCAGTCTCGAATTTACTACCCAATACAAGTTAAAGAACACCCACGAATGGAAGGATGTGCATTCAAAGTCCACCAGGCATGACGGATTAACTATAGTTATATGACAAATGGCGCCGAAATAGATGACATGGGTTGTAAAAGGGACACGGTAATAGTAATTGTATGAGGTGGTGAGGTGAAATGGGGTCCAAGATTATTGCACTTATATAGCGACGTGCATGCAAGTGTGTGTGTTTGTGTGGCTGCTTGTACTAGTCCGGACAGATGCCGATTTATAGTGCTACCTCGCTGAGATACCATGCCGCAGTTTAACATGAATACCCCACTCAGACACAGTATACTGACTCCGAACCGACCAGTCCTTGTTTTAGCCCCTTAATGCCGAGCGCCTGACAGGGTAACAAGTACCATCTTTTAACGTCTTTTGGTATGACCGGCCGGGGATCGAACCCCGGACCTGCAGCTCTACCACTAGGCCACGGAGGCGGTCGGCAATTGTATGAATGGATCACTGAAAATAAGTGATGACATAAGGTGTTCGCAAAAATGGTAAGCATGTCCTGCTCTCCCGGTAGCACCCGACACACACGCACGCACGCACGCACGCACGCACGCACGCACGCACGCACGCACGCACGCACGCACGCACGCACGCACGCACGCACGCACGCACGCACGCACGCACGCACGCACGCACGCACGCACGCACGCACGCACGCACGCACGCACGCACGCACGCACGCACGCACGCACGCACGCACGCACGCACGCACGCACGCACGCACGCACGCACGCACGCACGCACGCACGCACGCACGCACGCACGCACGCACGCACGCACGCACGCACGCACGCACGCACGCACGCACGCACGCACGCACGCACGCACGCACGCACGCACGCACGCACGCACGCACGCACGCACGCACGCACGCACGCACGCACGCACGCACGCACGCACGCACGCACGCACGCACGCACGCACGCACGCACGCACGCACGCACGCACGCACGCACGCACGCACGCACGCACGCACGCACGCACGCACGCACGCACGCACGCACGCACGCACGCACGCACGCACGCACGCACGCACGCACGCATAATTTTCATTGAAATAGTAAATTCAATTGAGTAAGTAGATGTGAAAACTCTATGTAAACGACGAAATACGGGCCCCGACAGGGAAATAACATCTGAGACATGCCTACTCGAGGTGCACATTTGTCAGCACTTTGAACTGATCGATCTTCACTTCGTGCTGATAATGGAATGCTTGGTGTTAAATGCATATGACCCCAATTATAGGTTATCTCTTAAAAGTGAATGCCATTACACCTTGACGCTGACTTTTCTTTTCTTTTGAAGGGGATTTGGGAGCTAGGGGCCCTTTGCCATGTCCCTACACGTTTACAATGTGTGAAACACCTTGTTATGCAATGCTTGAGTAAAAGTTGTTGTTGTTTTGCGCCGCGCTAAACTATATTCCAGCTATTCTACAGAAGCCAGAAAATAATCGTGTGTGGGCCAGAGAAACCAGTGATTGATATTATGACAACATCCAACGCCGTCGGGGTTCGATGACATGTAATCAGCCAAGTCACTGACCACCCGATTCATTAAGTCGCGGTGGAATAGGTCTTCAGCAACCCATGACTTGAGATAAAAGGCGACTATGCTTGTTGTAAGAAGTGACTAACGGGATCAGGTGGTCAGGCTCGCTGACTTGGTTGATGCATGTCATCGATCCCAATTGCCTGGATCGATGCTCATGTCGTCAATCACTGGATTGTCTGGTCCAGACTCGACTATTTACAGACCGCTGTCATATAGCTGGAATATTGCTGAGTGCGGCGTTAAACAACAAACAAACATACAAATGTTAAGTCGCATCGTACGACAAATGGAGGCTGCTTGGAACTATGCTACTCGAAATTCCACGGGGTGGGGAACAGGAGTCAGTCAGGTTGGAAAACGGAATAAACTTTTCATTTCATACACAATGAAGCAATTTTATAAACATATGGCTAACGATGTTCAGCCACAAAGCAGGTTCTATTAGGTTATGTAGTCAACAAACATACGTATGTTTCACAAGGACGTCAGGCATTACAAGGCAAATATTAGCAGGTGCTTGGTGATACAAACGAGGCCATTGTTGGCTCAGCCATTAACTATATGAGTTGGGTTGGCGACAAGGCTTGTGATGAACGTTGTCCCCTTGAGAGGGTCAACGAGCTGCCATGTCTAGCTACGTATGAGCAAATATATTGAACATAACTTGAGCGATTGTTTGCAGTGGAATTATAGAGGTTGTAAACTCTCCTTGTGCCATTCTGATAAGATCCTTTCGAGGTTTAAAAATCACTTTTCGAATACATGTGAATTATGAAACTACAAGATAACGCTAAGTTAAGTTGAAATTTATATTTCTCGTTTTCAGGGAGTGAATGCGTGCATAGCTTTCCTGAACACGGTAATCCCCCATTTTTAACCTTTTGTAAATCAATTAAATATACATCGTTATACGAACTGGAGTGTGTGCTGCAATCGGGTTAGTTAAAAACCGTTGTTAAATGCGATTGGATCCCTGTAATCTTGAGGGCTCTGCACTGCGTATGAAGAATCTTGATAAGTAGCGTTTCCTTCAAGACGACAATGGTGAAAAATATTTATCTCAACAACTTCGATTTAGTTATTTTTCTCCGCAGTCTCCTACACGGTTAACTCTTTCGGTTCCAAATGAAATTCGCGGGCATGGAATTCTCGCTCGAAAAAAACTGAAAACGAATGATGTTTATTTCCAAAGACATTTTTAGTGTTTTAGTGTTTGGATAGAGCATAGAAGGAATGTTCATTCCAACCCTTCCGTGGGCTTAGTGGCCGTTTCTTTCCCAAGAGCAGAAAGCGAAGAATGTTCCAGATGTGGCTTCCCATGGACTTTTCTGTGTAGGGTACTTTGTATAGTGACTGTATTTGTCTAGCATCGTCTCTATAGTGTCAGTATTTTTCCTAGGATAGCCTGTATCGTGTCTGTATGTAGTCTAGGATAGTCTGCATCCTGTCTGTATGCTGTCTTGGATATTCTGTGTCTATATATTGTCTAAGATTTATTGTCTCTACTTTATTATGCCAGCGCCCTCTGCAGATTGGATCCACCAGCGAAACAATACCATGTGACGTCAGCCTAGAAACAGGCAATAGCAACTCTCAGTGATCTTTCATCTCTACACTCAATGCTGTTGAATAAGCCCATAATTGTTACGAGTTTCTCTTCACGGGCGAGTAATACAAAACTCAAATACTTTTCACAACATCTTAAACCAAACTCATCCACTCTAACGGACATTTCTGGTGTCCCCCGCCGTGTTATTGCTGGAATATTGCTAAAAGCGGCGCAAAACCATACTCACTCACTCACTCACTCTAACGGAAATGATAGTTTGGAAACTGAACCAAGTCTATATTGACGTCGTTAGCGATACGTGTTTGATACCAAAGTTTCCAAGACAAAGGTTCAATCGCTGGAAATCTTTATTCGATTTCCACTCTCGGACAAAAGCACGCGTGCATGAATATAACACTGCTTGCAGTCGAGTCTCACTGCAAGGTTGTGATTTACACGCAGTGTAAATAGTCGTAAATTGGAAACGCCTCCTTTACACCATATTACCTCTGCAAGCACGGATCACGTTCTCTAAACATCAACGCGGCTTTATACGTCTTTTCTTACAAGTGTTATCAAGCTTTTTGAAACGACTTAAACCGCCATTTTATGGTAACGAATTTGTGACCACCATATTTCATAGAGTATTTGCTTTGGACACAACGCGAGTCCGCTTTTCATATCAGGGAGGTTTTGTTGGGCGGTTAAAGCGAGACACAATCACGTCAATAATACGGGCAGTTGAGGCCGCCCCCTCACAGCGTTCAGGTGTGCGGTCGATTGGGGTAGATTACCTAGTCTTGCGTTAACTCGTCACTGTGAATTGTATCACCGCTATACAGAATCATGGGTGAGTAATTTGTTTTGTAACAAACTGCCGCTAATCACATGATGTTTAATTTAATTCACGCTTAATCGTGTAGTGGATGGAATGACGGTTATAACGAAACACTGATACCATGGCTTACCATTAATAATGGAGATTTGTGTGCTACTGTTTTGCTTGAATAAGAGTATGGCTTTATTTCTGTGAACGGGTCTTTAACAGGTATTCATGTTATTACTGTAAATGTCTTTGGTAACATTAAACACAATAACAAACGATTAGTCATGTCTTGATTGTGCCAGTATTGAACCCCCGGGGTTTATTCGTGAATATTTAAGGGTATAGTAATATATCAATTTTCAGAAATATGACTGAAACAAAATTGATATGTTTCAGAGAAGAGTTTGTTGGCAAGTTGTATATTAGTACTCAAATGGTAGAAATATTGTGAGAGATCAGCATATGGCTTTTGAATGCAGTTTGATTTTGAATCATATATACAGCCTCTCTGCAACTTGTTATATCTGTTGAGTGTAAGATGAGTTGAGTGTAACGCCGCTTTGAGAGTGTGGGTGGTATGGTTTACCCCGATTTTAGCAATATTCCAGCAATATCACCGCGGGGATACCAGAACAGGGCTAACGCCGCCTTGATACCTCGGTTATCGTTAAAAAGAATATCGTATTCGACGTAATAAGCGCCCCGCTCTAATAAGCGCCACGGCGATATTTGCTAATATATTGGCTAGTGAACAATCCCAATTAGCACCCTTCCGATTGATCAATGTATACAGGACTTACTTATTCGTGTATAATACGCACTCGTGTGTTATATGCACCCTTAATTACGGGCAATTAAATTCTGGAAAAATATATCTGTCGTGTATAATACGCACAGACTTTTCATTTGTATCATTTCAGGCTGTCAGCATAAACCACGAAATTTACGATCTCTCAACTCTTTCACCAAAATTATATTCCAATAAGAGCCCCCTATTTTTAATTTTGAGAGCGCCCCGGGCGCTTATTACGTCGAATACGGTATCATATTTCATTTAAATACGTGTTAATGCTACCATTTACTATTCATACATGCAGTAATAGCATAACACTTTCAGTCTCTCCTCGGATGCTTACAATACATGTTAATGTAATACGATATCGAGTTCTGTGAACGTACAGGCTTAATGCACGGTGCAGCACAGCTAACACGGAATATTGTCTGACCATGCATAAGCATAATAGTATTGTTCGCTGTCCTATTTGTAACTGTTAACGTGTTTATGTATGGAAGTCGGGTGGGGCAACAAATCACTCTGTGGCCGACCCATCACCCCAGTGTTTTCATGTTGCCAGGGCCACACAGTACAGTTCAGAGCTTAAGCAACTGATATCTGTTTCAAGTGCCGCCCCATAAGGGGTTGGTGTTCTCCACGTATGTCGTCGTCCATATCTTCACAGCCGTGTGCCTTCTCTGATTCATGTGCACCAATACCGTACAGCCTTCATCCACATTGTGGTCCCTTTAACATCATTATCTCACCATATCCTCTATAGTGGAACCTCGGTCGTCCACGGAAATGACTGGTAATTAATTTCAAGCATATGTTCAGCAACCAATGCTTGTCGTAAGAGACGACTAACGGGATCGGGTGGTCAGGCTCGTTGACTTGGTCGATGCATGTCATCGTATCCCAATTGCGTAGATCGATGCTCATGATATCAGTCACTTTCAGACTCGATAATTTACAGACCGCCGTCATCTATCTGGAATATTGCTAAGTGCGGCGTTAAACAACAAACAACAAAAACAAATCTGAAGACAAGAGTTTAGTCACGATAGTTATACTATCATCGTGTTTCTGTCCCATCTCAACAAATAATGACACAAAGTAATTTACTGTTAAACATCATTATCTCGAAGTTCTTGGGACTATCAAATGTGTGTCGAGATATGGAATTTTCGACTTATACGGAGTATCGATATAAGGCCAATGTGTCGGTAAAGATTCAATAACTCTATAAAGTTAAAAGATATTTAGAGATAATGGAATTCGATTTGTCGTTTTTCTGTAATTTTGATAATCTGCACCACCGCCACTGTTGCCTCCGTGGTAACCACATAAGAACAACGCAAACTTAACCAAAACATATCTTAAGTTCCCCATGCTGTCATACAGTGGGAATGGGTCATTACCGCATCTGGCTTATTGTTTGACATCACGCACAGCTGTATCGTCGTAAATTATGGACTAAACACAATCACGGTGACACCAGTTATTGGATTTGTTTGTAGTAAACCAACAGCACGACTATTTGTTGTTCTGTTTATTGCCGCACTCAGCAATATTTCTGCTTTATGACGGCGGACTGTAAAAAGTCGAGTAAGACCAGACAAACCAATGATCGATATTATGACAATGTCCCACGCCGCCGGGTACGATGACACCCAATCAACCTAGGCAACGAGCATGACCATCTGATCAAATCCGTCGCTTCTCACGACTATCGTAAGTTATTTGGAAAAACTACAGTATCCCGAGAACCCTCGGCAACAACTGAATTATCTCTGCCCCTCTCGCCCACAGACACCCTTCACCCAATGTTTCAAGTCCTGCACTTACAATTGATTACCTTGCCAGCCAGACCTCTTTCAACCAATACCCCTCCAATCACTTTACAATATAAATGAGTCACAGAGCTCATCCACTACCCTCAACCCTGGAACTCCACTTGTCTGTGTGAAATATGAGACGGGTGTCCAGACATCGACTTAACGTCGACCCTTTCTATAATGCCTATGAGTGAAGACTGGTCTCCGAGACGAGGTATTTCATAGATACGTCATCCAACGCCCTATACGCGGATTATGTGGCGTTACGCGTGTTACAATATACTCTGCACAGTCATGAACCTGGGACACACGAGCTCGTAGTCTTCATGGCAGCAAGACGCTGTCCTCTCACTCACGTAATCAGTATATCTATATATGGAACTGTACTTTATACATAGGAAGGAGGACTTCGTGTTGTTTGTCACTGAAGGGCCATGGTGGCCAAGATAAAGTGTTATGATCTGAAGGCTCTATTCACAGTTAAAATAGCCAGAGGTATACCGCATCAATATTCAGTTTATAATTGAAAACACTATGCTGCAGCCCCTAGGTGTGCAGATGTAAGTATGCATTCCACTGAATTATTATCATAATCGAGGAAAGCCTAGCCTGCAGATATGAAGTTTTAATAGTTTCTAGGACATAATGAAATGGCAATTGATAGTTCTGATTATGTTTCGTAATGGTTGGTTGGTTGGTTTGTTGTTTAACGCCGCACTCAGCACTATCCCAGCTATATCACAGCTGTCTGTAAATAATCGAGTCTGGACCAAACAATCCAGTGATTAATATCATGAGCATCGCTCCACGCAATTGGGGTCGATGACATGCATCAACCAAGTCAGCGAGCCTGACCACCCGATCCCGTTAGTCGCCTCTTACGACAAGCATAGTCGCCTTTTACGGCATGGGTTTCTGAAGATCTATTCTACCCCGGATCTTCACGGGCCTGTTTCGTAATCAGCCTTTGTACATGTCGAATGTTCTAAAAATTAGTTGTTTGATCAGGGTTACACAATTATAGGTCTCACAAACCTTTATGGTAGACATTTGAGGGACATTTCCAAATTTGACCAAACAGTGACAAAAATGATGTCTGATGCAATTCCCTATTTTGACTCGTACTATATGTTCATGTGTTTTTTGTTGGGAAAAATTGACTTGGCTTTGCTTGTGTTTGTGACGGTTACCCCCGGTGGGCAGGATACGCTCACCATTTCGCGAACAACTGGTATCATCACAGAGTGATACTGATTCAAAGACAATGCTCATGATATAGTCGAAAGCTTACAATGGAAACTGCTTTAAGAAGATATTTCTGATGATCATGGAAAAGATTTTGTCGCTTTTATTTATACAATTCCCAGCTTCCCTTACCTTAACCCCAACACTCATATGATCGAGTATATGCTCACAGGGTTCTTCTCAAGTTTAGACCTCTGTAGAACAAACATTAATCGCACTGGTGCCCTTGAGGGATTTTCGTAAATGCACACACACATCATTACATTGTATCGTGATTGCCTCACATATTCCAAGCTGAAAGAATAACATGTTACTTGACATTTACAATCAACATGCATGATTGCCACTCTGTCAGTTCCCACCAGGGTAATACAGTGTAAATAATGAACTTCTGTGGTTTCGTGGAATAAATGATGAAATGACGGCCGATAGTGTATATATCCCCAGGCCATAGAAATGAGATCATTTCTAACCGCGATGTTGCTGAGGTAATAAACAATTTGTTGATAATTGGATTATACTTCGACAAGCTGATATGAGCTCACAGTACCGTATTCTTTCCAGTTTAACCCACTCGATTAAAAATGTAAACGAAGCAAACATCTAGCTTTCACAAATTAACATTTTCTACTATTTCGAGAAAGCCAGTCCTCTATTTGTTGCCTAAATTAGCTCAGCTTATTGCGTCTATGCATGAAAAGACAATCGTTGCAAGAGCTGAGGAGTTAATAATTAGATACTTTGACAATGATTTGGAAAATTCATCAGAAGTCGTTCCATGACGCCATGACTGACGCTAAATCACGAGCACAGGTATGGTGCTGACAAATCTGGGATTCGAACATTAGGATTCTGGCATGCCTGAGGGACGTAACTCCGCAAATTCAATTAGGCGACCACCCGTGTCAAGTTTTAGAACAACTTTGGACAGCCAGCTGGACATGAATATATTTATAATGAAATCTTTGAGTCTCATGGAAATGCTTCGAATGCTGCAATGCCAACTCACTATGAATTAAAACAAAACACATTAACTCATGTGTGATTATATCTGCAGCTACAGAGGCCAGTATGGATGCTTCCGCCAAGAGTGCCCACTATCTGCTCACAGCCAATGAGAGGGAATACCTGGCCAAGCTGTGCTGGCTGCTACACGACGCTGGCACACATGCATTGCGTGTGACGTTCGACACCATTCACCCACCGCTCGTCCTCAAGGAACATCTTAGCCAAACCCATGTCAAGACAATGCTTACAAAACTGCACCAACAGAAGGCCCTGACCGACAAACACTGGAAGACACTGTATCCCATAAAGAAGAGAGGCGTTACCTCACAAAGATATGACAGTCGGCTTCTAGCCATTCTTCTGCAGACAGTATGTCATCTTTGTCCCCCCTACCCCCATGGATGGAACGCTTTACCCCTTGGAACAGACAGCAGTCTGAGTGCAGATGTGGTACGGCTGTCCATCCTGTTCCAGCAGATCGGGAGTCTGGGCGGCGTCAGGGACGAGGAGTATCCAGTGCTGTGGAAACAGATCGGGGAGGTCCTGTTACGACTTGGAGGCCCTCCAGCTAGAATAAAGATCCAGAGAATTGATAACGAGAGTGTTCCTCCAGACCTTCAGAACCATTACATACAGCTGATTAAAGAAATATGGACACTGGATGAGAAGGGGATGTTCAGTGCAAACCTGGAGGCTCTTTCACGTCACAGTCAGACATCATCAAAATCTCCCAAGAAAAAAGGTTCGCGGGTGAAGAAAAAGGAAGATGAAGGTAGCGTAAACAGATATGATGTTCCTACTTAAAGTAATATACTAGTTATAGAAAGAAAGTCCACTTCTTCAACCTATAATAACTACAAAATTTTAGGCCGTCATTTTCTCAATACATTTGCTATGTCCCTGGAATCACCTCAAATTGTAAGGGATCAACCATTTCATATTCGTGAATTTTGTATTGAGACGAGAGATGTCTTCAGCTACATCTTCAGAACCAATTATTTTTTAATTAAAACTAGCCTTAATTTATAAAAAAATAACATCTTGGAACAATATAATTTTTCGTGGGTAAAATTGCTATTGTTTCAACAGTCTAATGCATAATTTAGGTTTTAAAGCTTTTTCTGGAAGAATGTTTTTGGGGGATAAAATCCCAGGCCCCCGAATATCAAATGTTCCGTCCCTAAGTTGACCGTATAACGAGAAAGGTACTTTATGTTGTACTTTATGTTGTACTTTATGTTTGGAAATGCATGTTTGACAACAATCTCTCTCAATCAATCATATGCAGGTATACCCCCCGAAGACAAGCATGTCATTATGAAAGTGTACAAGACTCTTGTCGACAGCATCATTGCCGAGGACATCATGGACCGTCTGCAGCAAGGCCAGATAATAAAGATCAGTGACAGACAAGAGATTATGGCTCTCAGCAAAAACCAGGAGAGAATGCAGCTGATTCTTGACAAGATCCTGGCCTCCAGAGTGAACTATGCCTTTAAACTGCTCTGTGATGCTCTGAAATTCAAATACCCGAAGGAATATGAAATGGTTATGAAGACGAGGAAGGCCACTTATAAACAAGGCATTGTTGAGACTGTCGGTAAGGCTTTACTTTATGGTATTTGTGAGTGAGTGAATAGGTTAGGTTTGGTTTTTAACAGTATTCTAGTTATTACACGGTGTGGCAGCTTGATGTGGGGGATAGTCTGAAGTGATGGACGTCATGGGCGTTTACCATTTCTGTCAAAGCCATGAGCGTGGGTATGGTGCTGACAAGCTTAGAAACACAATGAGGGCGAATGTGAGATTCGAATCACGCTATCATATGTGACCCACCAGGAATAAAGGGACCCTATGGTTGCTAGGATACAAGTGTTCTATGACGTCATAAGACTTTTGACGTCAGTGAACATAGTCATGTATGATGTCATGTATCTCTGTAATAAATATGAATTGAAGCTTGTGAATAGTATTTTTGTGTTCAGAGGATGCTGTAAAAAATGTGATTTTTCACCCATCAGGTCCCTTATCTCATTGTTGGTCACATATGATTCTTGCACGCCTACAGGACGAAAATCAGGGCGCCTTACACTACCGGGCCAACACTCGGTAACAGTGAATCTGTACAAGCATCCACATACACGTAAAATAGAGTTTTAAAGAGTGAGCGAGTTGCGTTTAAGGCCGCTTTTAACATTTACATTTATTCCAGTTGTATCAAGGCGTGTCAATCGGGGCGAACCTGGATTCGAACCCACAATCATAGGTGTCAGGCGTGCCCAAAGGGACGTAATTCTGCACATCGAATCGCGGCGCCCAGTTTTAAAGAAGCTTAAAGTATATGTATTGCTATTCCAGCTTTTGTTGCACTATGAAGTACCCATGCATGATTAATCACACAACATATGGTGCATCTAACTGATACAATGACATTGAATTGTCCACTCATCTACTGATGTTACTTATACAATACATTATCCAAGTCTGTATCAAACATTACTTCACTCAATCACTATTATTGCAGCAGATATGTATGATAATAATACCTGTGCTTCTTGCTAGCTACACTGTGGTTATCAACAAGAAGCTATTGTGGACCTTTAACACAATGTATTTGTGACATAGGTACATGTATTAAGTTTATTATTTCATAGTTACAATACTCATATCTAGTTCACCCGAGGCAGTTAACCTTTCTAGTACTCCTTTCTAGATGTGAAGCCTAATAAATAATGACAGTATTGATGTTGTAGACCTTGTGAGCGTGTGCCAGGAGGCTCTCTCTGCCATGTACAAACTGGCCTTCTCCCGCTGTACACCATTGCCATGGATGGAGTCTCTGCATATGAGTGTCCGGGACTTCTATACTCCGGTTGATATTGTAGACAGTGATGGGTGAGTGTTCTTTCACGTTGAAGAATTCACACTTTCTATTGTTGGTATGACCATGGCTAAATGTTTCTCGAAAACCCTTTACAAAATAATATACCTAAAGCGACAAAACCCTTTCCATATCCAATAGAAATCTCTGCATAAAGCAGAGTCGATTGTACGATTCCGACTATATCATGAACATGTGTTTATGACTCACTATCAAATAGTAATGATACCTGGTGTTGGGTGTTACCTGCCCAACCGGTGGCACCCGTTAAAAGCACATGCAAAGACAAGTTAATTGTACACCTAAAAGAAACAACACGGGAACATCGTACAAGTCAAAAGAGGGAATTGCATCGGACATATTTTTTTCTCACTGACGCTTCAATTTGGAACGGTCTACCATAAAAATCCTTTTGAAAGCTTTACTGAGGCCTTGAATGTTGTAACATTGATCAAACAAGAAACCCTACAAAATAGAGCCTGGATAAACATCCTAAATTTTACCGTTGGGAAAATTGTTTTAAATGTCCATTGTAGCCCTTTATTCATTAAAGGTTTGTCATGAGTGAATAATTCCTATATGTTCTCAGTAAAAATTGAAGTGTTTATTATTTCAGAAGAATATTTGTTTGTTTGTCTGTTGTATAACGCCGCACTCGGAAATATTCTAGCTACATGACGGAGTTCTGTAAATAAAGCGTCTGGACCAGGCAATCCAGTGACTGACATCATGAGCAACGATCTACGTAATTTGAATATCACCTTCGTAGATGATAATTAGTTTAGAATGTGGCACTAATACGCTTCCATACCATGTAAGTAAGAATGCTAATTATAGAAGTGACCATAACTGTGTTTTCAATCTACAGGAAGAAACAACACTTGAGTGATATATTTCCCACCCAGAACAAATCGGGAAAGGGAAAAAGAATTGTTCTAGAAGGAGCTCCTGGGATTGGGCAGACAACTCTTGCAACGATGCTTACACACATGTGGGCCAACCAGAAGAACTACTTCAAGGTAAAATACGAATTTCTGGTTCACATTGATGCGCATGCAATTGGGGAAGATTTCCACGACTCAGTCTACAAACAGGTCCTGCCAGAGAACACAAAACTGTCAGTCCAGGAGTTTTGGTCTTTGCTTGAAGCTAACGCAAGGGATGTTGTGTTCCTGATTGACGGATTTGATGAGGATGTGCCAAGTCCTGATCTTAAACAAATAATTCAAGGGACAAAGATGAAGCTCTCTTCCGTGGTTCTGTTTGTTCATCCTGAAATCCACGTCCATCGATATGTTACTGCAGATGCCAAACTGTTCAACATTGGCTTGAACTCTGGTAATGTCTCAAGGTGTCTGAAGACGTATGGATACTTAATGGAAATGACTGCGGAGCAATGTGATGAATTACTGGAGATGGCACAAAACAAGGAATGGACATTCAGACACTTGCTATCCTCACCTTTCATTTGCCTAGCCACTATTATGGTGTATAAAATTTGCAAGGAACGCGAAATTGTCAGCATATCTACCACAACGGAATTGTTTGAACTCTTTGGTGAGGCTATGGCGAAAGATTTTTGTGGAAGACAAAATATTGATGTTGTTGGAACGGAGTTTCCTGATGAAGTTCTGAAAACCATTGGTCAGTTGCAACAACTTGCCTTTGCTGCTGTTTGCGGCAAAAGGAGGATCTTCACAGATGGCGAGTTGATCCATGAAAGTCAAAACATCCTGATGACCAAATTTGGCGTCCTTGTCAAAAATGGACTCAGCAATTGTTGGAAAATGACATGTTCTCTGCTGGCAGATTTCCTCACCGCTCGGTACCTGGCAGACATGCCAATGGGGGATCTAAGCGAGATCATTGCAGAACAGAAACTACTCAGTCGAGTATGTTATGCCAATATGATCTCTTTCCTGTGTGGCTTGTTCAGGAACGACCATGACACTCCAACTCTAGGGAATATCTTCACAGAATTAAAAACTCACAACATAAAACAAACAAGAGCGTTGAACAGAACAGGGCATGGAAAACCAGTTGATGGAGAAACGTCCACTACAAGTCACCTGACATCTGGTTATGTGACTGACTACTATCATAGTCTTCAAGGTCTTTCGGAAAGCGAGTGTCGAGACGATGTTTTGACACAAGTTGTGGAATCCATGCCAAGCCATTTGATCATCCGGAGAGATGGAGCAATCCCTCACACATGTGTACACGGTCTCAGTGCTGTTCTTATTAATGAATCGGTGAACATCACACACATTGAAATCAACCTTCTTCCAGTGTACATGTTGCAACCAGATATCTACTTAACACTTGCAGAAACAATCGGAAACAGTCCTCGTGTAAGACGATTAAGGGTGTTGTGGTATGGGCTTGAATTGATGGCAAAGTTCCTCTCAATCGCAACTCGTAATGCACAAAGTCTACAGTCGTTGCAGATTGAAGACTGTTCAAAGAAGGTATGTACGCAGGTGACAGCAGAAACGTGGGCTGACCTCCAACAGTTTTGCAGCAAGCTGGAAAACATAAAGAAATTCATTTTCCTGAACTGCAAGATGGCGTCTGTTGTCTGCCATGTTCTTCATCATCTGCCTGAGACACTGGAGGAGATTGACTTTGCCGGGTGCGCCATGAACCCAATCTGTGCCGGCGAGGTTGCCACAAAGATTGAGCACTCCAAAAAGCTTAAGAGGCTAAATCTGAGCAGTACAAGGCTGGAGAGCTCTGACATCAAGGCTCTAACAAAAGGTGTAAAACTGGGTGAATCCTTGGAGGAGCTGAATCTTGGTGGCACGCGTCTCGACAGATCAGGTGTGGTGGCCCTGGCGGAGTCCATCCGTATGTCAAACACTCTCCAGTGTCTGGATCTCAGCAACTCGGAGCTGACAACTGAGCTGTGCTTGATATTAGCTGGAGGTATTGCAGATTCACGAACATTGACCAAACTGGTGGTTTCTTATGCAAAGATGACTTCAGAGGGTCGCCTTTTCATCTCACAGGCCAAGGAATCTGCGTTACAGATTGTCGGGTTGAAAACATTAAAATATATCAGCCCTGTGTAACTTCAACGCTTGACATTTCAATCATTTGCTTGGTCAATGAATGGCTACAGGTTTGGAGATTCCAGAAACCTCATCAAGAACCGCAAGACAGTGTCACTTTATGGTCCTGGAATATCACTTCTCAGTAATATTGACAATCCACATGTCTCGAACGACTGATTACGTAATGAGTTGCCATTATTCCATGTTGTAAATTAAAGTTCAGTAGGCCATGATGTAAACCCAAACCTCAGAATACTTTAAAGCAATGTGACAGTATTTGGTATTTTATAAAAATGTCTCCTTTCCATGTAATGTCTTCTGGGTACATACAAAGTTAATTTTTATATGTTTCATTGTTAATTTGTCTATTATGATGCCACTTGGTGCCAGTTTACCATCATTGCCTCATTACAGGGAATCCTCCCTTCCACTAGAAGCAGTTCATAAGTTTGGTGTGCCATAAACATCTTACTTCTAACGCTGGGGTCGCTATATGGCCGAAATAATGCCGATACGACCGTTAAATGTTAAACTCACTCTCTCTAGAGGTTGTGATTGGAGCAGGAGAAGGGCGGGGATATATGTACAAGTTGCCAACTGAAAAAAAAACAATTTCAGGGAATTTACAGTTTCAGTTTCAGCCAGTGTAATACAATATATATTTATACAGGATCACCACCGTAGGCACAGCGATGGGAAACAGAAGAAAGATCGTTGAAAAAACTTTGGTATGTTGGTATGGCTCTACAACTTGTTGTTGGTAACATGTGTGCATTGGAACACTAAGTTGTATTTTTTCTGTATTAAAATGTCACCATTTTAACAATTACGTTGTGGAGCGGATGTGGGTATGTCTAAAAATTAAGGAATACATGGAAGTTCTTTTATAGAAACATATAACTTTTGAACTGCTTACACACATCATGACAAAACCATAGTCTATATGTAGCTAGCAACATATTCTTTGTTTCTCTGGCCGTACAGCGGTTTTCTTAATGTGTACGTTAGATTTCAGCAGATCTTATGATTTCAACCGAGAAGAAGAACCATAATCAATATTGCGAATTTAATAAGTATGTCAACCCGTCACGTATATTTTTGGTAAAAGTGATGTGAAAATGAGGTCGAGCTTTAAGGTACTGTGCGAAACTGTTCAAAACGGAAACAGGGATACTGTCTACGCATGCACAACAAAGAAAACCCTGTTCCCCCATATTAGCTATTTTGCGATCAAAAAAGGATACACAGTTATGTTATTATAAGCACATTTGGAGTAAAACGATATGATTCTATTTTTGACTTAGACTGAATTTGAACAAAGCCCCAATTTGAGACGTTAATAGTCTTTACAATACATGTATAATTCATGGCAACACAGAGTTGAAGAACCTGTTTCAAAGGATGTGCATAATGTACAACGTCCGTCCAATAATGTATTTATTATTATTTACATTAGTTAGTTATATATTTTTTATCAATGTATATGTTTACATCTGTTCTTATGTTAACGGATAAAATCTACTATTATTTTCCTAATTTCGTTTTCTTGTTTCGATGCAATAATTATGAGCCTCGGCGTGTTTTAGATGAATAAGAATGTTAGAGACATCATTCGAAGTTCATCCATAACCCATGAATACAATGGCCACTATGAGGCGTAATTGCTATGTTTAACCAACGAATGATGGCCTTGTCCCAGCACAAAGGAAATTGAATGTCTGAATTCCTACTATGGAGAGTTGGATATAATATGCATTTTCATGTATACCATTGTCTGCAGACGAACAGGCGGCCTATCATAGATATCCCCCGTGGGTAATTCCAGGTTACAATAGGTCCCAAGGAACCTGGTATGCTGTCGTAGGAAGCGACCTAGTGGACTGGATGCTTAGGCTCGATGTCTTAGTTGATAGCGTGTTATCGTGCCACGACGGCTTGGCTCGTTATTCGCAATATTGAAACTCGATTATTTACAGATCGTCGTCATATAGCTGGAATATTGCGGAGTGCGGCGTTAAACAACATTCAAACAAACAAAATACAATATATAGTCATGAGTAAAAAACACCCACATTGATTGGGATTTCTTGGAGGTTGAATATTTAATAAAACGGAAGTGAAGGATTTCCTAATATTTTTGAAAAAATACACACGTATCCTCACAGTAGACCACCTGGGTTTATAGTTTGCAATTTAAAATATCAAGACAGATAGACAAGTGTTATACAAGATGAAACACACACACACGCGCACGCACGCACGCACGCACGCACACACACACACACACACACACACACACACACACAGTAGAAGCCATAAATAGGTTCCGAACCTCCTGAACAAAGATGGGTGTCATCATTGTTGGGAACAAGCTAGTTTCAGATTCAGTAGTGAAATGACATTTTGGGAGATAGTGTGTACAGTGCAAAAAAAAAGCATTTTGAAAGTGTCTTAGAGCAAACAAGTTCAAAAGGTCCAACTGTAACATATGCAAAATACAACACCACTGAAACACTGGTGTTGAGTCCCACTACTATCTGAACACACAACCCACAACCCACAAACCCACAACACACAAACCCACAAACCCACAACACACAACACACAAACCCACAACACACAACACACAAACCCACAACACACAACACACAAAACCACAACACACAACACACAAACACACAACACTCAAACACAATACACATTTCACTTCATCTGAACACAAACTATGAATGGCCATTCATAGTTTTTCAATATGCCTTGGTGTCATCCTTACTCTGAAGTGCAGTTTCAGCTTCATTGGTCCAGAGGTTGCTTTGATGATGTTTACGACGGATGGACAAGCAGGTCACAACATAACCACGCTTGACTTTCAGTAAGGGGAGCTAAAACGTATAAAGGTCTACCTTGTTTTGTGGTACTTGACAAAACAAGTAAAGTCAGTGTGTGAATGTTGTTGAACACTGAAGTCAGCAATATTTTAACTTAACTGTCGGGCAAAAGAAAGCATAAACTTGAAAATTGTCTTTGACCCAACCATTACAAATATTAACAAAACGTTACCAGGCTGACACCCTTTACAGAAACGCGTCAAACGTAAGATCCAAAATACTAAGATGATATCCGTATCATATTCATTACGATTGAATAAACATTTCTTGTTTGTTTTATTTTTAGCCACCATCAAACATGGGTGTATACTTTCCTTTGCCCGGCAGTGTATTTAACGGCGTCCTGAAATAACAGCCTGCACAAAGCAGACACGTGGTTGATTGAACAAATATAGTGACAATACCAATTCTATAATCACAAGAAATGTCCGTTGTACAAGTCCGACTGCGTCATACAGGTGTGCTTATGAATCAGTATTAACTAGTGATGATGTCATGTTTTCGAGAGGTGACTGTCCTGCCCCACCAGAAGCACCCATCATGTTTCCTGCAATCAGCAGTTAAAACCACGCATTCATCAGATGAAGGGGCGAGAGGTACCTCTTGTTTATTTTACAGGGTTGAGTGCCATATGCGTACAGGAATCGTAAGATCGTGGGTTCGAATCCGAGATTATGTGTTTGTTCCCGTGTTGTGATCGTGTTCGGCAACTTGACTCCTGAGATCTTCTAGGGCTTAAGTCCTTCCTCCAACTGAAGAACATGCAAAACACGTGGTGTCGCTTTAGACAGGCGACTTTGTTCATAAAATGCCTCTGTTCACCCAGCAGTGAATGGGTACCCGGTAGGATGTGATAGTAATGTGACTGTTAACGCCTCACAGGTTGAGCTGAGCATGAAAATCGAGTGCACACTGGTTAATTGACTGTGGAAATAATGATCTAGCAACCTAAACAATCACTTGATGAACAGAGATGAACACAATTCAGCAGTCAGACGTGGGTCAATATTGACAGTAGCGGGTGACATTGCCCAGATGAACACAATTCAGCAGACAGACGTGGGCCAATATTGACAATAGCGGGTGACCTTGCCCAGATGAACACAATTCAGCAGACAGACGTGGGCCAATATTGACAGTAGTGGGTGACTTTGCCCAGAGGAACACAATTCAGCAGACAGACGTGGGCCAATATTGACAGTAACGGGTAACCTCGCCCAGATGAACACATTTCAGCAGACAGACGTGGGTCAATATTGACAGTAGCGGGTGACTTTGCCCAGAGGAACACAATTCAGCAGACAGACGTGGGCCAATATTGACAGTAGCGGGTGACCTTGCCAAGATGAACACAGTTCAGCAGACAGACGTGGGTCAATATTGACAGTAGCGGGTGACTTTGCCCAGATGAACACAATTCAGCAGACAGACGTGGGTCAATATTGACAGTAGCGGGTGACCTTGCCCAGATAAACACAACCAAGTAGACAACGATCACTTTTATGAACACATGTTACGTCACAACAACTTTGACTTATTTCACTGCAGAGGGTCTGGGGCAGACAATCCAGGGATTGACATCATAAGCATCGATACATGCCATTGTGATACGAAGACATGCATCAACCAATTGAGCGAGTCTGACCACACGATCCCGTTAGTCGCCTCTTACGACAAGCGTAGTCACATTTTACGGCAACCATGGGTTGCTGAAAACCAATTCTCTGACCCGGATCTTCTAGGGCAGTATGCAACCTGAAGCCACACACGGGATGGTGGCATCACGAACAATATTTCTAAAAAATGTTTTCTTTACTAATAAGCAGCAGAATCTCTTCATACTGTATTCAAAATCAACATATCGTTCTTAATTTCAACAAAAGCAGTAAATGGGCTATGGTGTCACTGGATTTTGTGGATAATCTATCACTTGATTCTCTAGTTTGTTGACAGGTCGCCATTCTATTGCAGGAGTAATGTTGAACGACGTCAAGCAAGAAACAAACAAACAAACACATACTTTTTTATGGTGCTACCGGTAAAGCAGGACATGTTTATTCAAGATCATTTGGTGTCATTACTGATTTTAGACTGGCTATTCTCTGACGTTGGCCTTTTTATATTTCCATCACCTGAACACCTCTCTATTGTATGGAAGATCAAATTATGTATGCAATTACAAAGTATATGGAATGCTAACTTGGGTAACGAATTAAATTAACGTATCACTGACAACTGCCTTTGAGGCCTTTTCCTAAGCAAAAATCCGCGAACTTGTACAGATGTTCTGATCAACATGTCCAAGACTTGGCGCGGAGGTTGTGTATCCTTCACTGAGTTGTGCAGTTCTGTTGTTATTAAGACGACATCAATTTTAGCTTGGGACACATAGAACATGATTATTTGTTGATAAGATATTGACAAGATCGGTAGAGTTAAGTACAGTGCTAGAGGACGGTCTTTGGCGAAAGTCCGTTAGTGTGTGAGTGAGTGAGGTTTTACACCGCTTTTAGCAATATTCCAGCAATATCACGACAGGGGACACCACAAATGGGCTTCACACATTGTACCCATGTAGGGAATCGAACCCGGGTCTTTGGCGTGAAAGGCGAACGCTAGCCACTAGGCGAAAGTCAAAACACTATTATCATTTTATAGTATTTGACAATTCGACTCAAATTCCACAATAAAATTTGCTTAATATTCTGTGTGATGGTGATCAGCATATCGTTGTGTGTCAGTTCAGCGCCTGGATTCATTCATGTTTCGGATATATAACTGCATCTTGTAAAGGAAGAATGAAGACATTAGAGCTGGCTTTTCGGAGGTTCATGGCAGGTATGTCAAAGTTATTAAGGTCATACTTGTCTTACGGCTTCCGTCGCCTCTATTTCTCGGCTCGCACACGATGTTTAATGCCAAAACATATGCATAAGAAATCTTTGTCACAGCTCGTAACCTTGCACTATACATCCATGAAGTTCCTTTTTGTAATATAGATCGCGATTTCCTCCTTAAAACGTTCAGAATAACATGATTTAACCAAAACCCTTCGTCAAAATCTAAAACTTATCATACACGAGGATGGTACCGTTGCTGTAATTTGATTGGCTGCCTTAGGTCACATGCTTAAATTTGACCAATCACAAACCTTGTAGTATATTTCGGCAGGAAAGCGTCTCTAGAAACCAAGTTATACATGTCACAGCTACGAAAAGACTCCAGTGGGTGTTACTTCCGTGTCATCATTATGTCGGTGAAACAATGTAACTTTTTTTAAAGATAGTGACATGGCAGCCTTCGACGTACGTGTTCTTCATACGAAGCTCCGAAAACGGAGGTATTTCCTAATGTCACGTAGCGGTACTATTATCGGGGTATGGGTGATGACAGATGTTAGTTGTAATTTTCCGATTACGTAAACAATGAAACTAAAAAAGAAATAGGCAAGTGGGTTTGATAAAATCTTATATTTGCCGAAAATCGTTAAATTTTCGCTTCCTTGGTCCTTAATATGGACGTTATGAATGTGTTAGCTTACATTATTTTATTTTAGAACGAACTTAATTAAGTTTTAAATGAATTATTTAAATGTGATACACATAACTTTCATATTTATAAACAATAGGATTTATTAGACCTTTCAAATGTTGTATTGCCAAACATGTAGATCTAGAGGCAGTTGAAAGATGTTTTACAACCAGTCTCTGGGAACTCGGTGTCACAGCAGTAATCATCTACTGGTTGACTGGTGTTGAAAGAGTTAATCGTCGCCCATATTGTTATGTTGCTATTTGTGCACAAGCTGATTGCCAGGGAATAAAATGTTCTTGAAAAATTGAGTTATTTTACTTTTGTTACTCCAGAATATCTTTTTATATACCTACCTAACTTTTAAGGACAAAATGCAAGTATAAAAAAGGGGCTTTTTAAAAAAAAAATTGGCTTACTTCACCCTTGAAATGAGTTTGAAATCCGGTAACCATGAAATAAAAACAGTGTCGCCTTATTAATATGGAAAGGGTTTTGTCGCTTATATTAATTATTATTGGCAAAGCAGACATTTGTCATTGGCAATATTATTCTACCCATCCAATTTAAAAACCAATAATAAGATTTCTATGTATAGATGCTCGAGTTGCATACAGGGAAAAGGTGTGACTCCTGGAAAAGTAGTGGTGGTGCCGAAATGGTAGTCTTGTCAAATGAAACCAGGCCGAGTCTTGCATCCAGAGATGGTTGGTCTGGGATATCTGTTCTTCAACCACACGATGCCATCTTTGGGGCCACAATAATTTAATTCGTCACTTATAGATATACACCTACATAATTGTAATTGGACAGACATGGCCAGACTGCATCTTGGAGCCGTCACACGATCAGTCCCCACACACACATATATATACCGACACATGTATGGTCAGTCAGCTCTATCCCGCACCTCATCTGCAATGCTGTTTCTGTTCTAGGCTTCGTTTGTTTGTTTGTTTGTTTGTTTGTTTAACGCCGCAATCACCAATATTCCAGATATATGTCGGCGGTCTGTAAATAATCAAGTCTGGATCAGACAATCCAGTGATTGACATTATGAGAATCGATCTATGCAGTTGGGATATATAGACATGCATCAACCAAATCAGTGGCTCTGACAACTCGTGCGCTGACGGGAACATTAGAAAGTCACTGTATGAACACACTCGTGTAGGTTACACACAGCTAGATTGACACTCACGCGACTCACATTCGTAGAAATCTTACCTGCCACGACAACGTAGTTGCGCGGATATATGCACTTGGGTTCTATTGTTGCCTCGTTCACTATCATCAGCCCGAATACCGCTGTGACGCTATACACAGATAAAACAGCCAGGTCATCCTGACCCAGGGAGTGAGTGAGTGAGTGAGAGTGGTTTTACGCCGCTTTTAGCAATATTCCAGCAATATCACGGCGGGGGACACCAGAAATGGGCTTCACACATTGTACCAATGTCGGGAATCGAACCCGGGTCTTCGGCGTGACAAGCGAACGCTTTAACCACTAGGCTACCCGACCGCCCCCTGACCCAGGGAGGAAACAAGTATGCACAACTGATACTGGGTGAATCCACCCTTGCTTCTTCACTGCTGACAGCTGATCTGTGTCTGGATACCATTGCTCAATCGCCTTATTCCTGTCAAGGTTTTTGCTGACACATAAATTTAGAACCATGTCAAGTCAGTTCATTAGTATGATCTCAATAATTAATATCCATCTGTGTAATGGTGAATATGTATATTTTTGTTTGTAACTTGACGCCACACACAAGTCGTGATGTCCATCTTAATATGAGACCCGATTATATAGAGACCGCCGTGATATAGCTGGAATCCTCACTTTAGCGTTTAAAGAAGCAACAAGCTAAAAGCGGCAAAGCCTATTCCATATGCAGAAGAAATATCTTCCTAAAGCAGAGTCGATCGTCTCATTCCGACTAGAACATGAACATGTGTTAATGAATCACTATCCAATAGTGAGCGCATCCTGCCCCTCCAGTGGCACCCGTCACAAACACATGCAAAGGCAAGTCCATTGTTCACCCGAAGAAAATAAGAGGAACATATGGTACAACTCAAAATATGGAATCTTATCGGACATCATGTTTGTCACTGATGCGTCAGATTTGGAAATGTCCTCCACAGGTCTACCATAAAACATTTGAATGATGTAACCTTGATCAAATAACTTCTGAGCACGAGTCGTATGACGCTCTTTGAAATCTTGATGGCATGGTTAACTGTACCCTAAAAGTTGCCAAATATAAACGTCAAAGACGAGAGCTGCAGGAATATTGCTCGACATTAGGGAAAGTTGACGATTGTAAAGTTGACGTCACCCTCTTTTGGGATACAGTCTTCTCGTACAGGCATGCTTATGATATAGTCAGAATCGTTCAATGGACTCAGAAGAGATTTATGGAAATGTTTTTTGTCGTTTTTATAACCATTTCGTCTTCTTTGCATTGTAAGTAACTGTGTTCTTAAATGATCAGTGTGTCAAAATTAATTCTCCTGTGATTTATGGGTATGTCTCCTGTTTGTTAATAATATTTCACTTTTTTGTGTCAAATCAGGCGTAACCATTCTTGTCGAAGCAGCCATCTGATTGAAATCTTACGATGGAATTTCGATGTGTAAGAGACTATCATTAAAACTTCAACAGGATTGAGGTATATGTAGTCATTATTGGCACTTGGCTATCCCGAGAGGACCATTTAACATGTGTGAGTCCATTTCGGGCGAGCTTCCCTTGCTATGCAGGATAGGATGCCATTAATCGTGAAGAACACCTGCCACAAGAGGGATTTACGACAGGCTTTGAACCCGTGAAGATCCGGGGTAAAATAGGTCTACAGAAACCCATGCTTGCCATAAAAAGCGACTAAGCTTGTCGTAAGAAGCAACTAACGGGATCGGGTGGTCAGGCTCGCTGACTTGGTTGATGCATGTCATCGCTCCCAATTGCGTGGATCGATGCTCATGATATCAATCACTGGATTGTCTGATCCATACTCGATTATTTACAGACCGCCGTCATATATCTGGAATATTGTTGAGTGCAGCACTCGACATTTTACTAGCCCTTCAATCACTCGCTGCCCTTGACAATCACTAATAATATACTCACACCAATCTGTACCGCTACATAACAGTAAATACCTGGTTTAATTTTTTTTGTCATTTCAAATATTATATAAGGTTGGGAGATTACAACAAAAGGCTCATCTTGGCACAGATAATAAATAAATGGCTTAACCAGACGGTCACAAACATACCTTCCCGGAAACCTGACGGAAGCAAGCGTTCATAAAACATCAAAGAATAACACAACGAGTATATATGGATATGTATAACTTGAGAGTGTGTTTTACGCCGCTTTTAGCAATATTCAATCGCGGCGGGGGACACCAAAAATGGGCTTCACATATTGTGCCAATGTCGGGAATCGAACCCGGGTCTTCGGCGTGACGAGCGAAAGCTTTAAATCACCACTAGACTACCCGACCTCCCCATGTCTAACTTGATGACACGTGAAGTCTGTGATGATGTTCTCTTGGATGTTATGATGATCCGTGTAAACGTGAATAAGATGATTTATGAAACTAAATGACAACTTTGTGATTCAGCTATATGCTCACTGAAAATTACACGTGCCTCTTTGCTGGAAGGTCAAGTTTTGTTTGGAAGTCCTAAACTCACTTTTTCGCGAACACCTGCGATCATCACTATTTGATAGTGATTAACTAACACATGCTTAGATATAGTCGGAATTCTACAATCGACTCTCCTTTTGGCAGAGATTTCTTATGAATGTGGAAAGGAATTTGTTGCTTTTATTATAATGCGCTAAATCATCTGGGCAAGGTCACCCGCTACTGTCAATATTGGCCCTCGTTTGTCTGCTGAATTGTGTTCATCTGGGCAAGGTCACCCGCTACTGTAAATATTGACCCATGTCTGTCTGCTGAATTGTGTTCATCTGGGCAAGGTTACCCGCTACTGTCAATATTGGCCCACGTCTGTCTGCTGAATTGTGTTCATCTGGGCAAGGTCACCCGCTACTGTTAATATTGACCCACGTCTGTCTGCTGAATTGTGTTCATCTGGGCTAGGTCACCCGCTACTGTCAACATTGGCCCATGTCTGTCTGCTGAATTGTGTTCATCTGGGCAAGGTCACCCGCTACTGTCAATATTGACCCACGTCTGTCTGCTGAATTGTGTTCATCTGGGCATGGCCACCCGCTACTGTCAATATTGGCCCTCGTTTGTCTGCTGAATTGTGTTCATCTGGGCATGGCCACCCGCTACTGTTAATATTGGCCCATGTCTGTCTGCTGAATTGTGTTCATCTGGGCAAGGTTACCCGCTACTGTCAATATTGGCCCACGTCTGTCTGCTGAATTGTGTTCATCTGGGCAAGGTCACCCGCTACTGTCAATATTGACCCACGTCTGTCTGCTGAATTGTGTTCATCTGGGCTAGGTCACCCGCTACTGTCAACATTGGCCCATGTCTGTCTGCTGAATTGTGTTCATCTGGGCAAGGTCACCCGCTACTGTCAATATTGGCCCACGTCTGTCTGCTGAATTGTGTATGTGCCTTGCTGTCATGGGTCAGGTTGAGGTTTCAGGTCTTAATTTGTTGTCAGACTTTGTCATCAGCTGTTTTTTAGTGAAAAGCGACAGTTGCGATCCCAGTGCGTTTGCTTTTTGTCCATGTCAATGTATACTTTGTTTTAATTAGTAGATACAAATAACGAACCTAACAAAACTATGATTCTGTTTATTTTGGAAAAAAATGACTATGGGTGACAAAATCAGGATAGTATAAACAAATGTCAGGGGCCTAGCAAATAGAAGATGTGAAAATCTGCTGAAAGACAAGGCTATACTAATTTTCATTTCCAGTGCAAAGGGTTAAGAATTAATAACCAAAGGAGAAACAATTCTGAGTGAACAAAGAAGTCTTTAAAAGAAACTACGCTTTACATCTTGATATTCATTAGAAAAAAAATAATACACCAATATTTTGCAATATATTGTTTTATAGTTTCGAAACCATGATCAAATGAATGAAACTGGACACTTTATGAAAAATTGCAGAAGACGTTGTTTTTTCTTTCCACTAGAGTTTAACAATTTATACCTGCAAACATCTTGGAATATATATATATGAGTGAAGACATGGATACACATACTGTTAAGTAATGCTTCTTGTGCCATACAAAATGGACACGCATGTTCTTTATTCTATAATGACAAGGGATGCAGACAAAGAGACCCACTGTTTCCTTAGTTGTCCCTGGTGGTTGTGGACTTTTCAGAAATGATGATTTGTGATGACTGTTTATAAATAGGACAGATGGAAGTTTAAGAGCAGATTATGACACCCTCAATGACTTTTCATAAAATGTCTGGATATAAAAATTATATTGACAAGACAAAGGCAACATGAATAGTCTTAATGACTTAATGAATTGAATAAAGAACAGAACATTCACAGTGTATATTTGAACTGAAGGTGACAGTCGGCCATCTTCTCCTGGTAGAGCTGATCAAACCACTCGTTCTGGGCCACAGTGAACCAGTTCTTCCAGTCACCTACTCCGCCTGGAACAGATGGACGTTTGTTTGTTTATTGTCTAATGTCGTACACGGCAATATTCCAGCTATATGACGGCGGTCTGTAAATAATCGAGTCCATGCAATTGGGATCGAAGTCATGCATCAACCAAGTCAGCGAACCTGACTACTCGATCCCGTTAGTCGCCTTAAACGACAAGCAGAGTCGCCATTTACGGCAAGCATGGGTTTCTGAAGACCTATTCTATCCCTTCACGGGTCAACAAGTGCACGTTGTCATACCTACATGCAACATTTTAATCCATACCACTTCTGAACTTCATACAAAGTTTTTCACCCGTGATATTTATGTAACATTTTAAGCAGAACAGAAAACGTTATGTGCATTTTATGTGTTTCATTTTGTCTCAAATTTGAGTAACAAAAGTTAATTCCAAGTATTGCCCGAAATAGATAAACTTGTAGCATAACACGTGGCTCTATTGCGATATATGTCTTTGATATATCTAACGGACCCTTACCCTTTCGAAAAACGCCGTATTCAGTTGTGGTGACCTTGATGGCTCTCATAGAGGTGATGGTTGTGTTGTCGCAGACTCTGGACAGGAAGTCATCCGTTCTCTCCACACCCAGGAACTCGCATATCCTCCTCATCTCTCGCATCTGATCCTGGAGCAACATCAAGTTCAATAAACTCATCTCCAACATCTGATCTTTACACATATGACATTACACGACACCTTCAGCCAGCCAATACCCCGTCAACTGTAACTGAAGTGGTCCCCCGACACACCTGCTTAGTGCTGCCACGTGTTGCCACGACATACGTCCTTAGTTTTTCCGCGTTATCCCGACATATCTACTGATGTGTTCACAAGTTGCTGAGTTCCCTCATTTTGGTCTGATATATTTAACGAAAACTACTGAGTATGCCATCTGTTAATTCTCTGTCGGAAGAGGCGACCTGAATACATCGGACGGACACACTCGGTGAATTTTAAGGTCCCCACTCAATTATTTACTGGACGCCATGATATGACTGGATTATTGATGATAACAAACTAACAAACAATTATTTATCCAAGTGTTGCCCACACGTACCTGCTTAATGTCCTCGTAGAAGAGAGTCAACACAGGCAGATCAGGATTGGTCTTCTTCACTTGCTCCCAGTCAGTAACATAGTCCATCCATGATCCATACATAACTGTAACAGAAGGGTATATGTTGGTACAGACCTGGGTCAAACATGACTGTGACAGTTAAGAACCAATATGAATCATGAAATTTGGGATTATAATTAGGAAAAATTGCGAGTCAGCGAGCCTGACCACCCGATCCCGTAATTCGCCTCTTTCGACAAGCATAGTTGCCTTTTACGGCAAAAGACTTTTTTCTGATGCGATCGTTTATTTCACGACTATCATGACGTAGATGTAGCTGGGCAACGCAGATTAACGCGATGGCCGAACGATCGCATTCAAAAGCGGAAGAGATATGACAATCGGTATTGGGAGAAAAGGTACAGGTAATCAACATTAGGATTATGGGAATAAGCGGGAAATACCAACCTGTGCATAAAATGGACTTTTCTGACATTGCCGAGGTCGGATTCTATTGAGGCTGTCATCATTATTTAAATACGGTTTAATAGTTTTAAAGGTTGTATATTCATCCTCATCCTTGTAGCGGCTGTAGGTAATGTTGATATCTCATATAAGACATAAACGACTCGTTGGACGTTATTTATCACACCACAGTGCAGTAAGAATAAACTTCCAATTCAAATATTCTCCCTCCAGTGTTTTATTGTGTGATAAGTAACTCCCCCTCGTCGCTCATTTCTTAAATAGATGATAACAGACAGAACGAATACTCACACTTTCCCTGGAAAAGAGGATTCAAATAGTTCTTCCACTGCCCTTTGTATTTTGCACATGGAATTGTTGTCGAGAAATTATAGAAGGAAACTGCTACGTCCTTTGGGTTTCTTAGAACAGAAATGACTTTTATTTTCTTATTGAGAACATCTTCTGGCAGATGCTTCATCAGCAAATGGGAGCAGAGGATCCTGGGAGACTGGAGGTCGGCATACCTCTCCTCTGGCCCATATTCCAAGAAGGTCTGGTCCATTCCGATGTCATCTTGAGTAATCTCCCCTGTCAAGAGTTCTCGTGTTATTTCAAACACCCAATTGGTTCCTACGAAGAGGAATACAACGTGAAAAACAATACATGAAAACACACTTATGTAATGATAACTGTTAAAAATATCCGCCAGCCCGACAGTCCGAGGCGGTCTATTTTGCTGGCGGACGGACAGTTTTGAAAAGTTGCATGCTCGATGGTCGGGTTTTAAAGTTACTAAGTTGTGAATCCACAAGTTTGTTGTTATTTTCGGAGAACTAACATTGAACAGTACTAGTCTTATGTTTATCCTTTTATTACTTTTGTTCGTAAGTCTAGCAAATACTGGCGTGGTAACTTTGCAAAGTTATCAGTGCAGCTGACTGAAAGTTTTGGAAATGTTATACACTGGGACAAGGCCCTTTTGGAAACATTTTAGAAAACAGCAAAACTTTTCACAAATAGTTCTACGAGAGAAGGAATGATGACTGTTCACATATATACGATTTTCAACAATCGAATGTTATGTGCTTATAACGCTGTTTGAACTTGAGTAAGTCTTTGACCCAAGCTGTTTTTTGTAGCGATGTACGATGGTGAAGTGAGGTAAAATGGGGTTTAATGTCACCTTCAAGATTGTTGCACTTGTTTCGCGCCTGTGTGTGCGTGGCTACTTGTACTAGTCAGCGCTAGTGCCGATTTTTTAGTGCTAGCCCACTGTGAGACCATGACGCAGTTTAATAGGAATAATTATATAACCCACTCTGCCACATTATACTGACTCCGAGCCGACCAGTCCTTGTTTTAGCCCCTTAATGCCAAGCGCCAGGCAGGGTAACAACAAGTACCATGTTTTAACGTCTTTTGGTATGACGGGGATCGAACCAACCACCTTCCGCTCGCCAGGCAGACGCTCTGCCCACTTCATGGTGTTGTTATAATGTTACCTGATTTAGGATATGTGCAGAGCATGATGTCATCGTCGCGTATTTTCACAGAACGTACACCCTGGATGCCTGGTCCGTTGATGAATTCGGGTATGAGGACGCCGTTGTCGTTTAACGACGTGAGGGTGTCACCGCCGTCGTCCGGAACGTTCACTACGTGTACCTGAAGTCACAGAGAGCCTGTTGAAGTGTGAAGTGTGTCTGGAGTACATGACGGGGAGAGGTGCGTTGTGCACGCACCGAATGACATCAGACAACATAAAGTGTCATTTGACGCAAAAAAATATTCCGTTTTAGGGTTGCCTCCCTTCCACCACTTTCGTGATCATGAACCTGTCCCACTGCTGATCTGCCTTCAGTACACTCGGGGATTCCCCAGCAACCTATGCTTGTCATAGGAGGCGACCAAATGGTTTGGGTGGTCAGACGTGCTGACTTAGTTGCATGTCATCGTTTCCAAATTGCCTGTATCGATTCTCGTGGTCAAGCACTGGATTGTCTGGTCCAGACCCAATTATTGACAGATCACCGGGGTCATATATCTGGAATATAGCTGAGTGCGTCAAAAACAACAAGCAAGCTTTGCCTCTAAACTGAAGGCGGCGGTTGGAACAAAACAGGTCCCAGTTTTATGAAAGAAGACCTTCAACCCTAACACTTCCTCCAGGATCTCATAGCGTCTTGTTTTACGCACATTTCGCGAAGACGTTGAAAGACTGTAGTAAATCCCTTTTCCAGTAGGGGTGTCTTTGAGAATAATGAGTGAGTGAGTGAGTGAGTGACGTGTCAGCTTAATGTGGGAGGTAAGCCCGAACTGATGCAGGTCTAGGACGTTTACCACTTCGGTGAAACCCACGAGCACGGGTATGATGCTGACAAACCTAGAAACATAATCGGGGCGAACCGGGATTCGGAGCCACAATCATAGGTTTCTGGCGTGCCCAAGGGACACAATTCTGCACAGCGAATCGCGGCGCCTTAGACGACTGAGCCACCCGTGCCCCCTGAGAATATTATCTTGCATAGCAACGTTATGTAAGCACGCTCGAAATGGACGCACACATGTTTAATGTTCCTCTCGGAATAGCCGAGTGCCAATAATGACTATAGATACTTCAAACCTGCTGTTTTTTAATGAAAGTCTCTTACACATCAAAATTCCATCATTAGATTTCAAATCGGATGGCTGCTTCGACAAGAATAGTAACGCATCATTGGAAACACACAAAATGTGTAATATTAGAGGTGTTCCTTTTTGGAACTCAAAGCAGGAGACCGAAAATTCACAGGAGAATTAATTTTGACAAACTGAACATTCACGAATACAGTTACTTACAAATCAAAGAAGAAGAAATGCTAATAAAAGCGACGAAATCATTTTCATAATCGTAAGAAAGCAGGGTCCATTGTACGACTCTGACTCTATCATAAGCATGTGTTTACGACAAGCCTGTATCCCAAAACGAGGGATGACTTCAACGTCGAGCAGCTCTAGTCTTTGACGTTTAAATTTCACAACTTTTGAGGTATAAACAAGTATTTAATCAATGTTTCATAGAGTGTCATACGACTCTTGATCAGAAGTTGTTTGTTCAAGGTTACAACATTGAAGACCTCAGTAAAGCTTACAAACTGTTTTATGGTAGATATGATGGAGGACATTTCCAATTTGACCATCAGTGATAAATTAATTTGATGTCCTATGCAATTCCCTATTTTGGCTTGTACCCATATGTTCCTTTTGTTTTGTTAAGTCGAACAATTGACTTGCCTTGCATGTGTTTGTGACGGGTGCCACTGGAGGGGCAGGATACACTCACCTTTTCGCGAACACCTGATACCATCACTATTTGATAGTGATTCACAAACACATGCTCATGATCTAGTCGGAATAGTAAATCAACTCTGGTTTTGGTATAGATTTCTTCTGAATATGGAAAAGGTTTTGTCGCTTATGGGTCCTTTACACAGGATGGCGACCTTTGTGCCTCCCGTTTGCGACCATAAAATTTGCCAGGTCGTCGTTGGAGGCTCAAAGGAGGCAGAATGGTTGCCTAGGTCGTTCAAATGTAGTACACAGGAGGTTCAAAACAGTCGCACAAAGGTCGCCGAGGAGGTTGGTTGCTCAAAGGTGGCTCAAAGGCGGCAGAAGGGAGGCACAAGCATTGCCGCTGTTGCAGAATAAAGGCACAGTGGTCGCTCAATGGTCGCCAGGTAACAGATGCGTTCTGCTGAAATATTTTCCCGCCAATCATTGGCGACGCTTCTGCCTCCTTTGGGCGATCAACAGCGTGCATTGAACGATGACTTTGGCGACCACCATGCCTCGATTCGGCGACCACGGTAACCCTTGAGACTACCTGTAGTGCCTCCTCAGCCTGCCTATAAATAGAGGGCATGTACCTGCAGTGTTTCATTGTGGTTGCAGACGCTGAACAACTCTCGCAGTTACTGCTGAACAACTGCTGGAGCAGTTACATAGAAACATGATTTTCTGAGTTTAGGCGACCATTGAGCGTCCTGCCTATTTTTTGATCGCTCAAAGGTGGCACAAAGGTCGCAGCCTTGTGTAAAGGGGGCTTTATAAATTGTTTAACGCTAATGTCACGGCGGCCCATATATACTCGGGTCCCATATTAAGATGGAAATCACGACCTGTATGTGGCGTCAGGCTACACACAACAATATACTGGGTTCGCCATTACACAGGTTCAAATTGAGATGATACTAATACTGACTTGAGAATGGTTCAATGTATACAGCTCGACGGAATATCCAATAATACAGGCGAGTGGACAAAGGTATCCAGACACAGATTGGGTGGAGGCCAGGTGAGCTGTCAGCACAGTGAACGGAGCAAAGTTGGGACTCGGTATCAGTTGTGCATTTATAAGTGTGTACTCGCTGTGTCAGGTTGACCTAGCCATGTTATCATTCACGATTACACAGACGCAAATTGGTATAATACTAAAGAACCTACTTGAGACATGTGTCAATGTATCAGCATTCACCTCTACAGCACTTCCAGTATATAGACAACCGAAGACAACTGCTCTCACACACAGAGATCGAGGTGGCTTCAAGGCGAGCTGATGATAGTGACCGAGGTAACAGTAGAAGCCCCAGTGGAGATATCCATGCAGCTACAAGGCGATCTGTCTGCATTAAACGTTATTGCCAGGTCAACGTTGTCGAGGGTGGTATGATTTACACGAATGTGCTTGTCGATCTAGCTATGTGTAACCTACATGTGTGTGTTTATACAGTGGTTTTCTAATGTCCCCTTTCGTGTTACACGCAAGCGAACATTCTCTCATATACTAGTATTAGTACTTCTAGTGACATTATATGGTTCAATAAAATAATTAGGCATTCAACTGCCACATCTATGTATCCTTAGCCTGCAGTTTCAGCTGCAGTGAAATCACAAAACATGGATACCTCTCCCAGCTTCATTTCCTAATGAAGGAAACTCAACACAGCAACTGCAGTTCTGCGCCAAATGACTCTGAACTGAACACGACTGTGGACACGTTCAGCATAAGTGATGATGTTGATGACGAGAAGTAAACCCATTAAGTAAAGATCTGAACTGGTCTTCGGAAAGTCATGCTTGTTGTGAGAGGGGACTAACGGTTGTCAGACTCACTGATTTAGTTGATGCATCTTTACATATCCCAACTGTGTACATCGATGCTCATGATGTCAATCAATTGATTGTCTGGTCAAGATTAGATTATTTACAAATCGCCGTCATAATATATAGAATATTGCTGATTGCGGCTTTTAACAAAACCCTAAAACAAAACCCCAAACAAAGCCTAGAACTGAAACCACGCACGTTCATGCAAAATATTAATCCATACTACAACTTAGATTTTTCTCCGAATGGATTCATTCCTCATAATTATTTATCAGTGAAGGCAGCAACGAATATGACCTAAAGTGTGTTTCACTACTTACTTCAAGTATTGCCCGATGGAGTCCAACTTGCATCGTAACAAATACCACTGGTGCGCTATATTTTGGGGACACCTCTGAAACTCATCCTTATCCTTTCAAAAAAACGCTGAATTGTTTTGCCTCGTTCTTGAAACCACAAGACACCTTAAGCCAGCCATACTCTATCAACTGTATCTAAGTGGTGCCCCGACATACCTGGGTAGTGCATCTTCCCGAGGCAAGAGAGTGAACTGACTTTAAAAGTCCTGTTTCCACCCTTGCCGAATTAGGCTGGAATTCCTAGCGCCACCAGTGGCTATTATGAGTTACGTCCCTTCTAAGTCTCTCCTATGGACCAATCAGATTCCACCTCTTGTACCACTTGCATTTGCTTCAAACAAGAAGGCGGCGCCTAGTCAGGACGATCTGATCGATTATCAAGATGTATATTGTGATAAAACGAGTCTTACATCGCGAAATGCATCAAATCACGTGAGATTTGGAAAATATCTGTTGACAACGAGTTGGCGGTGCACATGCTTTGGAAATCCTGCAGTCGACAGAAATCTGAACGACAGTTTACGAACCGGATTTTGATTTCGTTGTGCGATTTTGATTGGACTATGCATAGACTCGTTAGTCCAGCCAAAATGTAACTCCATAATACCAGCCTAGTTTGGCAAGGGTGCACGGAAACTGGACGTTGATCGTCAGTTAACGCTCTTGCCTCGGGAAGATGGCGTAGTGTTGCCACAGGTTTGATAGTTTAGAAATCTTTAACAAATGGATTGAAATAAGAAAGTGTGTAAACTCTATGAAAAATAGCAGAAGCCCAGGCTTTGATTTATTTCCACTAAGGTTTTTCAAACATCTTGGAATAAATATATACTAATTCAGAAACATTAATAATTCACACTTCAAATGTAACAATCAACATAGGCGTCCTTATCTGTAAACCCAAAGGCAGTAAAAAAACAAAAAACTCTGGGGATTGCGGATAAGAATATAGGTCCCAAGAAAACTATGCTTGTCAAAAAAGGCCCGGGTGGTAATGCTCGATGACTTGGTTAATTGCATGTCATTGTTTCCCTATTGAGTGAATCGATAACTCGATTTTCTGGTCCAGGCTGGCGTCATATAGCTGAAATATTGCTGAGTGTTGCGTTAAACAATACACAAACAAACAAAGCCCTCTCCCATTCTTTCCCCAAATGAAACACACCTTGCCCTCATCTCTATATTAATTAAGTGATTGACAGAAAGAAATACGAGGAAGTGTGTACATCAGACATAAAATATACATCACTTTTAATGAAACGCAGGGAGATTGTTTATCAGATATATTTTATATATAATCCAGAATGAAAGTCGAGGGAGTATATATATGGGACATGTTATATACATCATTCATAATGAAAGGCGTGTGTGTGTATCGGATATTCAATACATCTTTCAGTATAAACAGCGTGTGAGTATATCCGACATGTTATATACATCAAGGCGGGTGAGTGAATATCTCAGATATATCACATGCATCACTCAGAACGAAAGGTGGGTGGGTGTATATCTCAGATATATTATGTACATCATTCAGAAAGAAAGGTGGGTGGATGTATATATCAGATATATTATACACATCATTCAGAAAGAAAGGCGGGTGTGTGTATATCTCAGGTATATTATGTACATCATTCAGAAAGAAAGGTGGGTGGATGTATATCTCAGATATATCATACACATCATTCAGAAAGAAAGGCGGGTGTGTGTATATCTCAGATATATTATACACATCATTCAGAAAGAAAGGCGGTTGAGTGTATATCTCAGATATATTATGTACATCATTCAGAAAGAAAGGTGGGTGGATGTATATATCAGATATATTATACACATCATTCAGAAAGAAAGGCGGGTGTGTGTATATCTCAGATATATTATGTACATCATTCAGAAAGAAAGGTGGGTGGATGTATATCTCAGATATATTATACACATCATTCAGAAAGAAAGGCGGGTGAGTGTATATCTCAGATATATTATGTACATCATTCAGAAAGAAAGGTGGGTGGATGAATATCTCAGATATATTATACACATCATTCAGAAAGAAAGGCGGGTGTGTGTATATCTCAGATATATTATGTACATCATTCAGAAAGAAAGGTGGGTGGATGTATATCTCAGATATATTATACACATCATTCAGAAAGAAAGGCGGGTGAGTGTATATCTCAGATATATTATGTACATCATTCAGAAAGAAAGGCGGGTGAGTGTATATCTCAGATATATTATGTACATCATTCAGAAAGAAAGGTGGGTGGATGTATATCTCAGATATATTATACACATCACTCAGAATGAAAGGCGGGTGAGTGTATATCTCAGATATATTATGTACATCATTCAGAAAGAAAGGTGGGTGTGTGTGTGTATATCACAGATATATTATGTACATCATTCAGAAAGAAAGGCGGGTGTGTGTATATCTCAGATATATTATGTACATCACTCAGAATGAAAGGCGGGTGTGTGTATATCTCAGATATATTATACACATCATTCAGAAAGAAAGGCGGATGAGTGTATATCTCAGAATATTATACACATCATTCAGAAAGAAAGGCGGGTGTGTGTATATCTCAGATATATTATACACATCATTCAGAAAGAAAGGCGGATGAGTGTATATCTCAGATATGTTACATAAATCATTCAGAAAGAAAGGCGTGTGTGTGTATATCTTAGATATATTATACACATCATTCAGAAAGAAAGGCGGGTGTGTGTATATCTTAGAATATTATACACATCATTCAGCAAGAAAGGCGGGTGTGTGTATATCTTAGATATAATTATGTACATCATTCAGAAAGAAAGGCGGGTGTGTGTATATCTTAGATATATTATGTACATCATTCAGAAAGAAAGGCGGGTGTGTGTATATCTCAGGTAAATTATATACATCATTCAGAAAGAAAGGCGTTTGAGTGTATATCTTAGATATATTATACACATTGTTCAGAAAGAAAGGCGGGTGTGTGTATATCTCAGGTAAATTATATACATCATTCAGAAAGAAAGGCGGTTGAGTGTATATCTTAGATATATTATACACATTATTCAGAAAGAAAGGCGGGTGTGTGTATATCTCAGGTATATTATGTACATCATTCAGAAAGAAAGGCGGTTGAGTGTATATCTTAGATATATTATACACATTATTCAGAAAGAAAGGCGGGTGTGTGTATATCTCAGGTAAATTATATCCATCATTCAGAAAGAAAGGCGGTTGAGTGTATATCTTAGATATATTATACACATTATTCAGAAAGAAAGGCGGGTGTGAAAAGACCCATTGCATTCAGATTCTGTTGACAAGTTTGAAATGTTATTTACCATCATCTACCAATAGGAAATATTATGATAGTATATTACCTTTTAAACTTATCAGCAGAATCTGAATGCAATGGGTCAATACTGCTAATTTTAAGATATTTGTGACTATGTTATTACTCATGGTTACCCCTCGACCAGAAGTGGGATAACGCCTTTAAAATCTACAATTAATGGAATCTTAAGATTTTCGTCTGGCTGATGATAGTAAATAGCATTTCCAACTTGTGAGCAGAACGTGAATGCAATGAGTCAATACTGCTAAGTTTAAGATATATTGTACGATATTATTGCTCATGGCTACTGGGCCAGAAATGACATAAAAGTAATGCTTTCAAGAATTAATTGAATCTTGAGAGTTTTTGTTTGCTTGTGATTGTCATTCACATTTCACACCTGTGAGAAATATGTTCTTTGATCATTAGTTTGGTATATAAAACTACATAGTTTTAAAAAAAGCTTCGCCCCCTTCACAACTGTAATAATTAGTCATCATAAGAAACCACAGAAAAATATATATCACTTACCTTGAGAGTTTCATCTTTAAAAAAAATAATCTCATCTCAGAAACTTCAGCCACTTGGCCTCCAACAGCAAGGATCAGACGGTCACTGTGATCAAGTGGTGAATGGAGGATAACTCTTACTGATGCTTTGTCCCACAAATATCAGTGTCAACGATGACAGAGCATGGAATAACAACTTCAATTCTCTATTAGTAATGGGGTTTATAATTATATATTTTTGTCTTATCTAGGTAATGTTGAAGCCTCCTAAACATGACAATCATATTAAATATTAATATTTAGATGCCACTTATACTGAAGACACTTTGCTGGCAAAAGAGTAG